TGTAACATTCATACAAATATAAAATTAAAAAAGTGTGGTCGCAATTATGCAAGGGGACAACATATTCAACAATAGCGCCATCGCTTGTTTATGGAAATTTACCAACTTAGATTGTTATGAAAATTGTTGGATACAAAACAGAATTCTGTATAAACTCTTGTATATTGCACTAGTTGAATAAATTACACACTTGGTCTTTTATAGACCCAAATAAACTTTTACTATTCTAAAACATAAACATAACTGCTACTAATAACTATTATACCTTGCTAAACTATTGTCCTTCCTACTACCATAATTAAATGCAAAGTTTATTACAAACACATTTAATGTTTATTCAACAAAACTCTTATGTAAACTTAAATGCTTCTTCGATCCAGCATTCTTATCATCTTCTTCTCTCTGTCGAAGACTTCTTTCGATAGTGGTTTTGTGAAGATGTCCGCTGCTTGGTTTCTGCTTGCTACATGCCTTAATTCGACACTTTCCTCCTTCACATGTTCACGAATGAAGTGAAATCGAACGTCTATATGTTTGCTTCGTTCATGATTCACTGGATTCTTTGCCAATTCGATAGCTGATTTATTGTCTACTTGTATTATTGTTGGATCTCCCTACTTCAGCTCCATCTTGCTTATCAACCTTCTGAGCCATACTGCATGACAGACGCACCAGGATGCTGCCACATATTCTGCTTCACACGTCGAAAGTGTCACTATAGGCTGCTTCTTCGATAGCCAAGTGAAAGCTGTGTTTCCCATGAAAAACACATATCCAGCAGTGCTCTTTCGATCGTCAATGTCTCCACACCAGTCACTGTCAGAATAATCCACCAACTTGTAGTCTTCTGTCTTTGAATAAAACATCCCAAGTGATATTGTTCCTTGGATGTATCGAAGGCTACCTACCAAGCTTCGATATTTGCTTCCTTCGACTCGTTCTCCTCCATCAAACCTTAACAACTTTGTACCTGGCTCCATTGGCGTCGAAGTTGGATTGCAATTCTTCATTCTATATTTTTCTAAGATTTCCTTTGCATACTTTTCTTGTGATATGAAAATTCCAGCTTCTTCTTGTCGAACCTCCAGACCAAGAAAGAATCTCATCAGACCCAAGTCTGTCATTTCGAATTCACTTGTCATGGTGATTTTGAAGTCTTCGATCATCTGAACATCAATGCCAAGAAATATAAGATCATCTACATAGAGTGCAACAAGCAATAAATTACTTCCATTTTTCTTCACATAGAGAGCTGGTTCATAAGGACATTGCTCGAATCCATTCTCCTTGAAATATGTGCCAATACGTGTGTTCCATGCCCTAGGTGCTTGCTTCAGCCCATACAGTGCTTTCTTCAGTTTCAACACCTTCTTCTCTTCTCCAGTTCTCATATATCCAAGTGATTGTTCGACATAGATTTCTTCTTCGAGCACACCATTCAAAAATGTTGTCTTGACATCCATTTGAAATATTGGCCATTTGAACTGAGCAGCTTGAGATATGAGTAATCGAATTGTCTTCATTCTTGCAACAGACGCGAACACTTCGTCATAGTCAATCCCTGCCTTCTGTTTATATCCCTTCGCAACCAGCCTTGCTTTGAATCTTTCGATTTCTCCTTGAGCATTCATCTTTTTCTTGAATACCCACTTTACACCAATGGGTTGACTACCTTTTGGTAATTCGACTAGCTCCCAAGTATTGTTGCGTTCGATTGCTCTAATTTCTTCGTCCATGGCACTTTTCCACTTCTTATCTCTTAACGCTTCTTCAACACAGATGTTTTCAGCATCTGCCAGAAGACACACAAGATGCACCTCACTTGTTGAATCATACAAATCTTGCAAACTTCTCATTTTTGGTTGTAGAAGTTCATCTCCATCTTCTGTTTCTTCATGTCCTTCTGGAATACTTGTTGGTACAGCTATAGTTGTTTCTTCGACTGTGTCAGCAACCTCTGTCGAAATGTTCCAGTCCCACTTGCTTGCTTCGTTCATTCGAACGTCTCTGCTCACAATCACTTTCTTGCTTATGGGATTGAAGAGCTTGTACCCTTTCATGTTCTCATCATATCCAATGAATATGTACTTCTGACTTTTGTCTTCAAGCTTTGTTCTTCGTTGATCTGGTACATGTGCATAAGCTATGCTACCAAATACCTTGAGATGAGAAATTGTTGGCTTCTGTCCACTCCATGCTTCTTGTGGTGTTTTGTCTCCTAACTTCGAATGTGGACATCTATTCTGAATATAAACAGCACATTGTACTGCTTCTGCCCAGAATTCTTTCGACATATTCTTGCTTTTGAGCATTGATCGAACCATGTCAAAAATAGTTCGATTCTTCCTTTCAGCCACACCATTTTGCTGAGGTGAGTATGGTGCAGTTAGGAATCTCCTTATGCCATGTTCTTCACAGTACTTCACAAAGGCCATCGAAGTATACTCTCCTCCTCTGTCAGATCGAATTACTTTGATGTGTCTGTCTGTTGCCTTCTCCACCATTACTTTGAACTTTTTGAACATTTCTAATGCTTCAGATTTTTCTTTCAGGAAGTAGACCCAGGTTTTTCTTGAGAAGTCATCAATGAAGGAAATGAAGTATCTTTTTCCACTGAAGGATTCTGGAGTGATTGGCCCACATATGTCAGTATGTATTAATTCGAGTATCTGTTTAGCTTGATACTCTGCCTTCTTTTGAAATGAGATTCTTGTTTGTTTGCTGAGTACACATTCTTCACAAAATTTTCCTTCGAAATCCATGTCTGGTAGTCCATGCACCATGTTCCTTTTTTCCAACCTTCTCAAACCAGCATGATGTAGATGACCAAAGCGCATGTGCCATAGTGACGCTTTGTCTTGCACTTCGATTTGCAGACATTTCTCTCGAATGTTCCTCAGATTCAGTTTGTACATTCGATTCCTTTCCATTTCGACAGCGGCAATCAGATATCCTGCTTTGTCCTTCAACTGCAGTGTTCGATCTTTCATCAGTATCGAAGCACCTTTTTCTGTAAGTTGTCCCAGACTTAATATGTTGGTCTTAAGATCTGGTACATAGTAAACATCTTCGATTGATCCAATCAAGCCATCCTTCTGCAAGTAACTGATTGTGCCCTTTCCTTCAACCTTCACTTTCGATGCATCTCCAAAAGACACACTACCATCTTCAATTCCCTTCATATCTTTAAATAGGTGTTTGTAACCACACATGTGATTACTTGCTCCTGAGTCAAGATACCAAACACTGTCATTGGTGTTGATTTCGTTTTGAGCCATCAGGAGAAAGCCTTCATTTGATTCAGCTTCCAAGGCTAGGTTGGTTGTCTCTTCAGTCTTCTTTTCATTTTGACAGTCTTTTGCAAGATGTCCCACTTTGTTACAGTTGTAATATTTGTAGGAGTTGCAATCCTTCGCGTAATGTCCATACTTCCCACACTTGTAGCATTCAAAGTTGGAATAATTCGAACGACCACCTCTTTGACCACGTCCTCTTCCACGCCAAATTTGTTGGCTCGAATGTCCTCTTTCGAAGTTGCTACTTCTACCACTGTCACGACCTCCACGTCCACATCCTCTTCCTTGAAAGTTGTGAGAGAAGAGTACCTTTTCATCTTTGTTCGATTCCTTGGTTTGGTTTGCTTCTTCGTCTGCTTCTTATTTCTTTTTCATCTTTCGTTGTTCATGTGCTTCGAGCGAACCAGTGAGCTCTTCGATTGAGAGCGTCGAAAGGTCCTTCGACTCTTCTATTGCACACACTAGATTTTCAAACTTGTCTGTTAAAGATCTCAAGATCTTTTCAACAACTCTTACATCAACTACTGTCTCTCAATTTCTTGTGAGTTGATTCACCACCTTTTGCACTCGTGTGATGTAATCAGATACAATTTATGTATCCTTCATCTGTATCCTCTCCAATTCGCCACGAAGAGTTTGGAGTCGAACCTGCTTCACTCGATCTGCTCCTTTAAACACCTTTTCTAACGTGTCATACGCTTGTTTCGACGTAGTCGAACCAGAAATCTTCTCAAAGCCTGATTCATCTACAGCCCTGAACAACATGTATAATGCCGTTTTGTCCTTCACTCGCGTCTCTTTCAACGCCTTCGTCTGAGCTGCTGTAAATCCCCCAACTTCTGTTGGTTCTTCAAACCCATCATGGGTCACCTCCCACGCGTCTAGAGATCCAAGAAGAGCTTTCATTTGGATACTCCAGTTTTCATAATTGGACTTCGTTAGCCGTGGCAACGACATTTGGTTCATCATGTTTTCCATGAGCTCTGATGCCAAATTGTTGGATACAAAACAGAATTCTGTATAAACTCTTGTATATTGCACTAGTTGAATAAATTACACCCCTGGTCTTTTATAGACCCAAATAAACTTTTACAATTCTAAAACATAAACATAACTGCTACTAATAACTATTATAACTTGCTAAACTATTGTCCTTCCTACTACCATAATTAAATGCAAAGTTTATTACAAACACATTTAATGTTTATTCAACAAAAATCAATTAATGAGAACCATACCTAAAAAATATGAAATGCTTGATTATATCCTGTAAAACTAATCACAAATTCATCAAATCAACCACAAAATCAAATTCCTAATTTCTAAGAAAACCAAAAAAAAAAAAGATGATGAATCAAGAAGGACAGTCTTCTTCTATGGCAGTGGATGAAAGCATGTAAATCGATTCACACATTTTGAAACTCTAAAATCTCAATCCAATCGATTCACACATCAAAAAGAAAAATAACAAAATAAATATCGAATGTGTCAAGTATTGATGAACTGAACAACGTAAAAGATGCAAAAAACACAAAGTGAAAGAGGAAGAAGAAGATAAAGTCCTATTCATAATGAAATCGGTTACAATTTGTTATGTTCAGTTACACCAATCAACAACCTCCTACCTATTTATACGCAATAAGAAAATAAAGCATATGATAGCTATCTGCTAGAACTCTAACACGTAGCTCTTATCCTACACCTCTAATAATAAAAAAAGAGATAGAGAAAGAAAAGGAAGATGAAGAGAAAGAAGAGATAGAGATAGAGAAAGAGAAATAGAAAGAGATTGAGAAAGAGAAAGAGAAATAGAAAGAGATTGAGAAAGAGAAGGAAGATGAAGGACGAGAGAGACACAGAAAAAGGATGGTAAAGTGAGAAGAAATTTGAGTTAAAGTTTTTCAAATTTGTATTCAATCGAGACATAGTTGTGAAAACAAACTTCTTCAGTTTGGATAAACACATATGTTTCGTAGCTTTTGCAAATAACATAATTTGCATCAAATATTGTAGTTGAATATTTAAGATTTGTGTGGAAATGACCCAACTTGTCCAAATAATAATAAGGTGGAGCTAAATGGCAAAGAAGTAAGATGATCTTATCCATAATAGTCATGTTCTTATATGATAGATTGATATGAATTATCAGAGAAAATGTTTCATCAGGAATTGTGAAACTTGTCAATGTCTTAGCTAAACATCAACTTTCAGATCCTTTAACTAAAGTTTTGTCAATGCCTCAATCAAGGCCGACCCAAACAATTTAGAGGCCTTAATCTATTTTAAAATTATGCCTCTAATAGATAAAACACGACAAATTAAAAAAAAGTATATTTCATTTAAATTATAAATAAATTTAAATATATAGTAAAAACTTATATAGAAATATTCTGTAAAAATTTGACAAATTAAAATTTAGTTTTTCGCATTTTTCTACTTCTACAATCTTTGAATTTATAAAAAAAATCATAATATTTAATGAAAGATAATAATTCTTTGAGCAATTTTGACACTATAATAACAAAATATTTTTAATTAATAAATAACCAACATTGTGAAATTTTTGTATAAAATATTAAAGTATAATTTGATTTTTCAAAGTCTGGCAACTACTGCATCAAATTTATCATTATACCAATTCACATAAAAATCTAAATTAGTGAAAAATATTATAAAAAATTTAAGCTAAAATATGTTTAAAAATAATTTAAATTAAATAAATAAATTTATTAATTTACTATAATATTTAATTATTAAAAATTAATAACAAATGAGTTTATCATATAATAAAATTTTAATTATTTAATTATAACAGCTCGTTAATATGTTATTATTTAAAATAAAATTTGAAGAAATTGAATTAAAATAAAATTTGAAAAATCTTTAAATTGTAACAGATTTTACTTTAATAATTTATATTCATATTATATATAATCTAGTTTATATTCATATTATATAATAAAGAAAATGAATTGATTAAGATGATTGTGTTGTACCCACAATAAATTAAACAACTACCGAAACAAGTGATTTCAAATTAGCACAAGTCTTACATATTATTTAATTATATATTTATATTAAGTCCCCAATTAAATATGAGGCCCTTTTATTTCAGAGGCCCTATGCGGTGGCGCTCCTTGCACCCCACAGGCCCTTTAAAAGATTTTAATTAATCAACGTATAGGGATTCATTATTTTTTTTAATATCTCAATTATTTAGGTAGAACTGATAAAACGGGTTAATTTATATGGGTCAGTCTCTCTGACTCAAAAAATTATAGTGTAAATTAGAGTTTATATTTTTTAAATTTTTTTAATCCAATTCAGTTAGTTCGCATGGAACGTGAATATCTATTAGATCTGTATAATTATATATTTTTAAAAAATTATATTAATTTATATATTGAATTATTCAAAAATAATATATTGATTTTTTTCACTTCATTAAATTTTATCTCTATTCTATTTAATCTTTCTCTTTTAAATACTAGACATTAATGTAATCAACACTCATTCTTCATATTTTATTAGTATTTTTTAGGTTAAATATTTGAGTATTATTTTCTACAATTTAAACATATATTATATTTAAAAACATATTATAGTGTTTATAAAAGATAATATAGTAATTAAAAATATATTATATTTAAAGTAATATAATTTTTTTATTTATAATAAATATTATAAATATTTTATTTTAATTTTTTAATTAAAAAAATCATTTAGGATCGGGTAACTTAAACCCATCTAAAGTCGGGCTCAGTTAGTAATTTTGTAACCTATATTACAATAGGACATTTTCAGTCCAACCCTACAAAACTCAAATTTATCAAGACACACCCGTTTAAGATCGGATAACATATTTTAACAGCTCTAACTTCAAGGGATTACATTTTAAATTACTAATTAATTTATATAAAAATTTAAGAGTTTTACAAATGATTTAAAATAATTTTTTAGATCCTATAATAATCAAAGTGTAATTTATTTTAATTTTTGTAATAATATTTTAAATATTTTATTATTCTCTTAAAGTTTTTTAAAATTTAAAATATCACTTAAATTTAATATTATATATTATTTTTAAGATATATTATCTTAAAAATGCTTTAATAATAAATATTTAAGTAATTAAATATCATAATTATTCTTTTAATTATAAAAAATAATTGAAAATAATTTTTAATATTTAAAAAAAAAACTTATAAAATCAGTTTTTAAAATATATATTTTTTAAATCTATAACAAACAAAGTCTTAGTCAATCCTTACGTATCATTTTTGTGTAATTTTAATAGAAGTTATGACAACAAATATTTGTTTATCTTTTATCCATACACTTTTAATTTTAATTTAGTTTTTTTAATAAATTGTTTTTAGTAATAACTTTTTAACAAATGCTATTATTACGTGGTTTAAAATATTTTATTTGATCAACTCAATTATTATGATAAAATATAATATAGTATTATACTTGTACCTGACTTAATCGAAAAATATATTATTTTTAAAATATAGTATTATTCAATTTTTTAATATGTTAAAAAAATGATAAATATATTATTTTTGTATAAAAAATTATATTTTTAAAATTAAAACAGAATTTCTAAATTGTTCGGGAAACCCTTACTATCTACAATAAATATTTAAATTTAAACACATTTGAATTAAATGTAAGGACATAGACTCTCCGAGTCATAATTAACGATTTATATATTATTAAATATCTAAATTTTAGATATAAACAATACATTTCAAAATAAAAAATATATATATATACGATTTATATATATATATATATATATATATATATATATATATATATATTGGTGAGCCAAAAGAGTATGTATTCATTATATCTTTGCCTTTTAAAAAGAAAATTTATATAGTAAAAAAGTTATCATCTCCATGAAATTCTCTCTTTATTAAATATTGATGATGAAAGGTGTAAAGAGATCCCTGAATTCAAGCATTTTAGCCTCTGAAAACCAACCGCACTTGTGACCAAAAGTGAAGACCTCATCATACATTTTTGGTATTTGATGTTTGTGTCCTCTTCCACTCCAAGCATAATTGCATATAATAATTTACATATTATATATAAATTATTGCTCTCTTTTTAATTTTGAGTCTTTTTCTTCTTTTAGCTTTTTCAAGAAATGCACGGGTGTAATATATTAGTTTCTATGATTGTAGTTAGTGGACTTAAAATGGGAACTGTAATTGATGGATCCAACATCTTGAATAATGATCTCTTAATTTTTGTTAGGGTATTATTTCATGATTAATTCCATGTAACTCGTGCTAATGTACTTGCTTTAAGTGGGGGCTATTGGACCCTTTTGTTTGTTGCAATTCAATTTTGCTACATGTACCTCGGTCTCTCGTTATAAAATTCTATTAAGTTTTTTTTCTTCTCACATTTTTAACTGTATTATATATATATATATATATATATATATATATATATATATATATATATATATATTGAAATATTAAATTAGATTAGATTAGATTTAATATTTAAATATAATTTAAATTGTGTAGACTCAAACTCAATTAAGGATGTATATAAGTAGTCATAGTCTGTATCATTATTTGTATAATTCAATAATATAAATCATTATTTTCTTTATTATTTTCTCTTTCTCTCCTCACTAAAAGTGTTTCACGCACTAACAAATTGTATCCAGAGCTTTTGATTACTGTTCTTGATCGAGTTCTCAAGAACTTCACGTCAGAGAACGTGTTTCTAGGACAAGTGAAGCAACTGCTGCGATAATGGCTAGTGATAAGGGTATTTCAAATTCTATTTCAATGCTTGATGGCAAGAATTAGATCCGATAGAAAAAATAGATGCAATCCATGTTTGGCTTCCATGAAATCCTAGAAGTGGTTACCAACGGCGTTCCTGCGTTAGCTGCAAATGCAACCGATGAACAGAAGAAAAAAAAACTCGCAACGAAGTCAAGAAGAAAGATTGCAAGGCTGCTTATTGCACTCAACCATTCGTGCGTTTTCACTCTAAATCATTTACAAAGTTTTTATAACTCATATAGAACTCATCCAAAGACTTGTTTCATCATTGTAACACCATCTTCATCATCTTCCAAACTCAAAAACAGAGCTCTCCAACTTGACTTGTCCAGAAGAATTGAGGCACTCTCAATCTAAGATAAGCATTGCAAAAGCTTTCTGGAAGTTCAGTGAAGCTATCCAGATCATCTTAACACCTCCAGAAGTGCTCTAACTCCAAACTCGATTCTCACTTCAGAGGTAAGTTTTCTAAACTTTGAAATCTCTATACAAGCACAATTTGCATTTATTTTCTAAAGCAAAAATGTAGATATCAATGCCCTGAAGCTAACCATGTCCTTAGTTTTTATTTATGTTGACTGTGTGATGAGAATTTTGGATTTGAAATTTCTGAGAAATTAGGATTCAGTTTGGTACCAATAGAAATTCACTTTAATCTTTGAGTTTTAGCTTAACTTAATGGCATGGTTGAATTCGTGGTGAAATTTAGAGCAACTTTCATGTTTACATTTTTTATAAATGATTGAGAAATGGAAGAGTTTGAAAATGAAAAATGGTGATGTTGAGGTCTGGCGCGAGGAAGAAGAAGAAGTGGACATTTCAAATATTTGAAAATGAGTTTATATTATATTGATTGGTGGTTGTTTCATAACCGGATGAAACAACCACCCCAGTGACAAGCGCATGTGTGTGTAAGGTGTTAGTGTGCCAGGGCAGGTGTTCGATCCTTGCCTCTGGTATTTTATTTTTCAAATATTTCTCTTGTGGATCAGGTACATGCAAATCATACGCGCATACCATGAGTCTCACATCAACACCATCAGACCATCAAGCAATCAGATCTAACACTCCACATGCGTACCCCATGATGCACCTCAGAGGGTCAGCCACACTGGATTACAAACAAGCGCTGGACTCCTCTGTTTGGGCTTTTCATTTTTGCTATTTTCTCACCCCCAATTGCTT